AACTCCCAAAACTTTTGGGGGAAGCCATTGCTCCTCCCCCAACCAGAATGGAAAATATATGCTTCCTTATAAAATCCTTTTGCCACCTCCACCTACAAGCCCTTTCTCTAGATCCTTTCATACACTCGTTACTCTCCAATTTATTTATCAATCCTCTGCACATATGTAAAGAGTACATGTTTTTTATATTGACTTTATTTTATTATTTTCCGTGTTCCGTCTTACTATTTTAACATAGCCTGTACCTTCAATAGTGAATTTGAATTCAGCATTCAATTCAGCAAGCAAGCAATTCAGTAAAAATTGCTTTTCTACTCCTTTTTTTTTTTTTTAAATATATTGCTTTTATTTATGAGCAGCTATACTTTTGCCACTTCCTATGTTAGAATTTTATCATTACATAGATATTTCCAACCTAGTAGAGATTATGAACTTCTTATTATATATTCAAATTCCCTGGACAAGGACCATTGTTACATTAATGTCCACAGTTTTTATGGATTAGGTTAATAATAGAACATATCCATTTTATCTGATACCTTATTATTATTTTCCTTAATTTAGCTCTCTTATATCACATAAAAATTCTTTTTAAATTTCTTAAATTATTATTTATTTTTCGAAAATACCCTAGGAGTAAAAAGTTTTTTGATAATACGGTTTTATAAGGTAAACAATTATGTAGTTTCTTCAAACTTTTACTATTGTTTATTTCTCAAACAAATTTTCAAATGGTTGTGTATTTAGAGCAGTTTATGTTCTAATTTAATTTAACTTACTTTTTCTTCTTTTAGAAGATATTAATAGAGGTTGAAATGACTTAATACCATGTAAACCTATTGTTAGCTGTGCTGTATATATTTTATGGTTGAGTGGTTATAAATCCATCTCAAAATACATTAGTTCCTTTTTCTACTATTTTCTCACTAAAATTAAATATTTAGTTTAACTACCTCGTGAATAACTACATTGGGACAAAAATAGTAGATGTATGATTTTTATACATTTAATCTTAATCGCTGATTTGTTCTTTTTTCATTATTTTAAAGTGGTATAAGGATCGCAATTTCAAGTTTTTCGGACTTACTAAGTATTTAAGCAACAATATATTTCAAGTAACTTCTTTTTATTATAATTTTTTTTTTGCGTGATATTGATAAAAATATTAAATTTAATCAATTAAAGTACTGTTTATGAGATGAAATAAATTTTGGCAAAAAAAAGTTTTTTTCATGAAATTATAATTTTTATAGATATTATTTTTACATATCAATCCTCTGCACATATGTAAAGAGTACATGTTTTTTATATTGACTTTATTTTATTATTTTCCGTGTTCCGTCTTACTATTTTAACATAGCCTGTACCTTCAATAGTGAATTTATACCAATTCTTGATTATTATACAGTAAAAATTGCTTTTCTACTCCTTTTTTTTTTTTTTAAACATATTGCTTTTATTTATGAGCAGCTATACTTTTGCCACTTCCTATGTTAGAATTTTATCATTACATAGATATTTCCAACCTAGTAGAGATTATGAACTTCTTATTATATATTCAAATTGTGACAAAAATAATTATATATTTTTCAGAAAAACTGTTTTAAATTCTGTTAAATCATTAATTTATTAAATTTAGTAATTTATTTATCACGATTCGATGTTCTGGCTAATATACTGTCATTACAAAATCATATAATATTAAATTATGTACTTCCATTTTTAAAATCTGTGCCAGCCTTTGACATTTGGCACCCCCCTGGTAATGGCATCATCTCTTCTCAGAAAATTTAATTTATTTCTCAAGCTGCAAAGTAAAATATGAATTTTTTTCAATATCTCCCTAATTCTGTTGCTTTATTAGTAGCCTAAAATAAAATTATATAAAATAAAACTAAACTAAAAAATAAAATAAAACCCTTTTTTTTATTCCTATCGAGTGGCGTATACCTCTCTGCAGATTGCTTTAAAGTGTTCAGATTTAATTTTCTATTATCTTACTAAATGTTTTGTCTCTGGATTTTGGCTATTATATATTAAGTTATGATGATATGATACCAATTGGTTATTCCAGAAACATCACGTATACAATTGTTATCAATTTTGAGTTGATACTTGTTCTGTTTACATTACTTATAGATACATCTTTTAATGCAGGAAAACACTAAATAATAATTTAAAGTAGATAGTTAACGCTATATAGTTTGTTTAATTTTATTTACAAAACATTTAGTATAAAATAATTCTAGATTTAGTAATATTAAATGGCCTTGAGCTGGGAGATCCCACAATTGTGAATTCACATACATTTTAGAGATTAGTGAGGAGTAATTCTGTCATTGGTGTCTGTTGAGCACCCATACCTAATTTTAAATATATAAATGATTTTAAAGTTGTTCCTAAAATAGATTTCCAAATTGTTGAAACATGTTTTGTTTCTGAAATAACCGATTCATATAATAAGACTGTAGGAAATTCAACAAAGATATATAAAACTATGCAATAATATATAATTATATAGCATTGTAAACAATGAAGAATTTAAAATTTAACCTCTCATTAAATATCAATAATTTTCACAAACATTTGTATTTCGGCATTTCGCACATAAAGCTTTTGGGTAGTGTTGCAGTTAAAAGACAAAGAAATTCTTCCTTGATTTTTGTATATCAATTCATTGTGACTTAACGATATTTCTTCTGTTGACATATGGAAAGAAGAGTCATTCTCTTAGTGTCAACATCATGAATTATCTTATGTCTCAAATTTATTATCTTCCATGATATTGTGGTGTCATTGACCTGTGGGAACTTGGACTGTGAACATTTTTACTTCTCATAAACAAACCATTGAAATGTCTTCTCTGCGACTTTATAAATGATAATAAAAGGAAGTTGTGGTGCCTTATTTGCTAGATAATGTTTTATGATAATCAGCTCTAATTATAGTGTCACATATATTACATAAATCCTTTGTATACATATTTTTAAATAAATTTAAATTTTTGAACAACATCCTAATCAACGTGCTTTCACAAAAATATTCATCTTTTAATTTAATAACCTTGGCTTTCTGTTTGATCCGAGCTCATGTGAACACAGTTCATTAATTTTAATATTTTTAATTATATACCTGTGTGTGAAATCACACTTTTATTTAAATTTGTTCGACTGTTGATGGAGTGAACTTGCAAGTATAAGTGTATTCATTGTAAAGACATTGTTATCTGTGATATTAAAGCCACATTATGATCTCTTAAAATAATTATACTAAAATTTTAGCATAACAATAAGCTTTTGTTTTGTCCTTCAGTTATTTTATTTTTTTTTTTATCATTAATATGGGACTAAATTTCGGAGAAAAAAAATAAGGGAATCCATAAAGTTCATCAAATTAAAAAAAAATTATAAAATTATGTTTGAACATGTTACTGCATCTTCAAAATTATTCTTATTTTATAAAGTATTTAATCCGAAAGATTAAATAAAACAAAACATTTATTTAAAAAAATGTAAATCCCCTATTTAAATGAATAAATGTTACTTTAAATCCAGTAGTTTTGATGTATAAATATGTCTTATAACATGATAACTTAATTTTAGGGATTGCATATCTTTTCATTAATAAAAGTTATTTATGTTGATAGAAAAGGTTTTCCTTTAGGCTAAATTCATATTGCCTCCTTAATACCAAAGGTAGGAAATCTTTGTATTTTTGTTAATGTTTACTTCTTGTAAATATGTAATCTTCTACAAAATAATTAAAAATACACATTATTTTTTATGTTTATATAAATGTGCAGCTCTTCATTATATAAAATTGACCTCACTAGTCTATTTGTTAGAACTAAATTGTATCAAACAGTTATAAAATAAGCTTATTTTTCACACTTTTCGACTAGAAGTCTGAATATTCTTAAATTTTAATTTTGGTAGTTAAAAATAAAATACATTTTTAAAAGCCAGAATATAAAGGATCATAAATTAGAGTTAACTAGTTGGGGCATATATCGTCGTTCTGGAATACTTTCACACCCAAAAATATATAACAATAAAAAATTGACCTGTTCTCAATTATTTTCCTATAGGACAATTTAGTAAATAACCACACTTAGTTTTTTTATTATTATTTATTGATGAACTTTCCGAGGAAACTCTGTCCCCTCTTCAATATTTAATATGCCCCAAAATTGGGTAAGTCCAAGTTCCTTATAAGTTTGGTCAAATGTACTTACCAGTATTTGGTACAGTACAGTATGCCCAATACACAATTTCATGGCATATCATATACTGAAGAGGAAGAGATTCTCCGAAATGTTCATGAATAAATAATAATCAAAAACTAAGTGTGACTATTTATTAGATTGCCCTATAAATAAATTATTGTGAAAAGATAATACAGAAAAAAAGTCAAAACTGGAACATCAAAAATTAAAAAATGATACATGTAAATAGTTAACCACATCACAATTCCAGGAGACAGTCCTAAAAAAACATTAATTAATTGGTCATTATTTATTCAAAACCTATTTTACTATCTTTTTTTTTTTTTTGTTCTCTGACTCCTGTTGCTATTCCACCTAATGAAGACACAAAGCTTGACTTGTTTCGTATCTTGTATAGTTTATCAGTATCTTTCAAGCTGTTTTTGTGGTCCATAATAAAAAATTATATGTTTTTCTGTGCATTTGTAATGAACACTGCATTATTGAAATGTTTATTTTCCTGATTGAGATCGAGTTTTATTAATTGTTCATGACCAGTATAAGCTTTATTCATTAGAGATGCAAACTGCAATCAAAATCTCTGTATATTTCAATAAATATCAAACAAAACAATTATTTTCGTTTCCCTTTCAACTTGAGGGCCATATTTTAGCTACAAAAGAACAATTTCATATTATTCTTTTACTCTGAAATATGAATGTAAATTACATTAAATTTCATTATGATAGGAGAAAATGGGTTTTTCATTAACTTTTTAAACGATTTAAATAATATTGCATGTTTATTTATTTTTCTGTTGTACAAGAAATATTTTTTAGTATCCTTGATGGAAAACGTCAATGTACCAAAAAAAGAAACTATACAAATTAAAAAGTATATGGGCTTTTAATATTGCAATGAGGATTTTTCTAGAATAATAAATAGTTAAAATGAGAAATCTAAAAAAAGACACGGCAATAATTAGAAAATGAACATGAAAAATAAATTTATGACAAAATATTATTTATAGAATTTAATTAAATAATTCTAATCTACTGAAGTATAAAACATATGTATAAACTGAATTGCCACAATTATGGTAACAACTAAAATAAAATAAGTCTTACATGGACTAGACACTCAGTCCAATTTACATTCATTCATACACATTTACACAAATGGATTCCGTGTTTAACAGTTTGATAAAGTTTATGATGAATTAACTAATTATAATATGCGCTACAGATATTTACAACAAGTATTTCTTCTAATTATAGCATGAAATATTCAACAGTACATTGTGTAATAAATTACATTTTTTCGGAATCCGATTTCACCTAATGATTTTATTAATACTTTAATAAATACGATACACCTAATAGACATCATGACAGCCCGCAGAGCAACAATACATTAAAATTTGCAGTTTTAAACACCTTCATTAAATAATTCTCTGCAAAGATCCATCTTCTGTTATATGTCTAAGGATATAGAGTTCCTATCAAATGTACAAACTGCTAATTTATAAATGCATCAAAAGGTTTTACAGTAAAAAGAAAACTTTATACATTTTATAGACTATGAGATTTCTCAAGCTTAAGTATACAACAAACTGCTTTCTGTAATTTTTTGACTTGATAGGTCTCTAATGCATTGGAAAGCTGATGAAAGACATATAATTTTTCTAAACTTTTCTGTTTCCCTAATGAAGAGTAGGAAGTGGTTTTAGGAAGAAGCAGTCAGTTTTTCGAGTCGACTGCAAAGCCTCGCCTCGTCTTCGGAATTCGATAAGAGAGAACAGGGCTTACTGAGGCTGCAGTTTCCTTCCCACCTGGCTTTACCGCAAGCATGGGACTGTAAAAAAGGAAAAGAACATTATTAACACACAAGTAACGGAAGTAAAACCTAAGAGAAAAAAACGTATTTAAATTAAGAGGAAATTGTGTATTAAATTATGTAAAATCACAGTTATTTATTAAACTACTGGGCATTTGAGACATCATATTGTTGATTTCAAGTATTACAAAATAATTTGTCAGCAACAGTACTCCAAATTATTACCAATATAAATACCCAATACAGCCTAGAACTTAAGACATCAAAGCACATTTCATGATCTATTCTATAATACCTATGTTTGTTTGGGCATTTATGTTACTACATGAAATACATCAATTTTCAAATTATTTTAGTACTACTGTGTGTTCAACAATATGATTTAATAATATTAATAACCATGTCTGTTTGGTCATTATCTGTGATTTGAGATAATTCGCTGTGTTATGAAAAAACAAATTAATAATGTAGGTTCTAAATGAATAAATTTGTTTTCTTATCATGAGTACAGAAATAATGAAAGAAATAATCACCATTGTAAGGTCCCTCTTCCACGTGGAAGAACAGTGACCTTCACAGATGGGGCAAGGCCTCTCGAGAGAATATCCACCACACTCCTCACAATCTAAGGAAACATGTTCGTCATGCCAGGAGACACCACACCTGAAGTGAGATAAGGCACGTTAGAAATTAATGCCATTTTCTTCTGTCATAAACTCCATTATGGAGAGAGTGGGTGTGATGACTTACGTAAAGCAGGAGTTAAGTTGAAGCCTCAGTTCCTCAATAGAGAGGACTGCCTCAGAGGTGAAGTAGGTTGGTAAATCATCCAATGAGCAGATGGAGCTGAAACTTTCACTTCTGTTGTTGAGGCCATTGGCTGGGTGAACGCTGGCTAGAGACATTTTCTCCTGCAACATGAGAAAAAAACATTTATTTATAAACTGTTATATATTAATAATAAGTTAATATTAATATAAATTTACTACATATAGAAATAAAAGTATTATTTCGGTCCAAGTATCTGTTTCCTACTCGAAAATAAACTGTCCTTTGTGGTTAGAAGGCTCTATTTTGAGTTCATGGTTCAAGTGCATGGCCGCCACTAGCGAGGTCAAATAGATGACCTTTATCATAACACGAACTTTTGTTTAAGCGATAAGATTCCTTATTCAAGGCATTTCAAATCCACTTATTAATAAATAGTTATAAAGATTCTTTACTTTAAAGATATATTATAAGTAACGATTAACAGTTGATTTTGACACTAGCTGTGTAAAGAATGATTTGTTATCTATCCTTGTTTAAATAGTTAATAATCAACTCAGATGAAAACATAAAATAGTATATTATTATTTAGTACACAGTCACGTTCTTCACGACAAAAAAAAAAAAATAATTACACGATTTTCTTAAGTTCATACCTAATAATCGATTGCTTTATTTTTTTTTAAGTTAATCGTTAGCGAGTGTCCTCAAAGATAACCTTCAGTTTCTTGTATTTTTATTTTTTTATGCACTTTTATAAACTAATCTAAATTACAAAAACAACTGTTTCTTTTATGTATAATAAAGTTGAACAGACATAAAATATAGAAATAAAAAACTTTTATCGGATGCTTTATACTGGTGAGTTTTGTTTGGAATTAATGCATTTAATTTAAAATGATTAAATAAATATAATCAAAGTTCTCAGTTTATTAACTTTTTCTCGATTTCGTTAAGTCAAACCTTAAGAATGGTCTTCAGGAATTAGGAGTCTCTATTTGAAGATAATTTGGAACCTATTCTATTCAAATTTTTTAACCACGTCCTTGAACATGCAAAATGAAATGAATGACTTCAAACCCACGCGAATTGGTCCAATGTAATCTTTATTATCCTTTTCCGTTGTACTGTTACTTCACCTACAGAATAACTCCGGACGAGGAGTCGGAAAATCTTTAAGTTGCTTCACAAACTATTATAACTTGTTCACTTGCAGCTATACTTTTCCATTGCCTATTGTATTAACATCTGTTTTCTTAATGTGTATTCCGCATGGAAACTTATCTGTTATATATTTACGTAATGCGATTTGAGGATGAATTATGTAATACTTTGTTTTAACTTTCAGAGAAAATACTGCGAGGATAAATTATAACATACAATTTTATTGTAAATGTACAACAAATAAAACCAACCTATTAGTTCCAATGCAAGCAGCTGGAAATCTGAGTAAGGTTAACCTTGCTGAGTTGGAGTTCTTGGAACCTTTTATCTAGAAGCGTTACTGGAGTTTTTTTTTTTGCTCTTGGAGGATAGGAACAGGCCTGGAGAACCCCTGTCACGTTGAAGAACTACCCCCGACTCCCCTTCGGTAGTTGACCCTGGGACCGATGTTTTCTGTCCGTACGATATAACGGCCAGACCTGTAGGGCAGCCAAGGCGGCGGCGCCAGCGTCTCAACCGCTCGATATTTCCCACTAAATATACTGCAATATATTCCTATCTCTGTGCCACTTATAACTGACCTGGATATTGCGGATTTCGTTATGCGATTCGCGAATGGAACGGGTGTAATCAACCCCTGAAAAGTAAACCGATTGTTATCTTTTGTCTCCATTCCACTCAGCAATTAACAAAACAATTCTTTGTTAACCATAATTACATCCTCTCTTCTTTATATAAATCTGACAACTTCTTTAGAAGAGAGGTTTTATTCTTACAAGAATATAACATGGTCTTGTTATCTAATCGTTTCTAATCAAAAGAAATGATGAGATAAGAACGTATTATGTTTAAATAGAGAACGAGATTTAATTTATTTTATCTCCTGTTCAAAGTCCTGGTAGAATATCTTTTGATTTAAAATGAATTACAGCATTATTTGCGTTTTGGTATCTTATCGCTGTTTCAAGCTCCCTTTTTCCTTATATATGAATAATATTATTACAACTGAAACCTTCATCATCTGAATATTTTGGATTAACTTAAAGTTTTTAGTTATTTTCTGTAATAGGTGAGGGATCAGTAAACCATGGGACTAGTTTCTTTTCAAACCTAAAAAGCTAGAAATATTTCATTTCACGGTTTAAACTCTTGATCAAGCTAGCCAGCTGTATTTTAGTACATCTAACATTGTATAGATCATTTTAAGATTCAATGCCTTTTCAGGACATATATACTAAAGGGAATGCTTTATCGATTATGGATCGATACGATACACGAATGCAACAAGAGAACAAAGGTCTATTTTAAATACAAAAGGAACAGAGAGCTGTAGAACAATAAATATGAAAGCAGTATTGTATGATTATTAGACGACCTTGGTGGTGTTGGAGTGGGGCAAAGGGCAACATCCTATGCCTAAAGAGCAAGGAGGCGAACCTCGGAGGTCGAAGGGCCTCTGTCGAAACCATTGTCGGTAGATCTAAGACAACATGAACATTTATTATCGGAGGTTCCCGTATGTCGACTTCCTTTGTAGTTATGCAAGTAGTTTGTAACATTTTTCATGAGGTCTTCAAGTTCTTCGGTTATGAATCTACTTGTAAATACTGTAGAAAAGAGTCTCAAAATTTCTGATGCCTATTCTTGAATAGTGTTCACAAAGGAATCTATTTTTAAAACTTAATGAATAAGCAAAGTTTTTTTTAGTTTTCTTGATAAGAATTCTATTTCAATTTCGACTGGATAAGTTCAATTGGTTTGAATGATGGATGCGGGTACTTCATTACGATGCCCCCCTCAAACAATTTATTCCATTAAGCAATTGATATGATTGAATGAACCTTCAACTTGAATTATAGTATAAATTAGGTTATTTAATAAAAGTATGGAATTGTTTAACTTTATAATAATAAAAGAAATTGAAAGACGTTTTATTTCAATTGAAATCAACTGGGTGTCTGTGTGGTAGATCTTATCTACATAGGCCAGCTTCCTTTTTCTTCTTTTTTTTTGTTCTTTTTTTCTCTCTCTTTTCTGAGAAATGATTAAGAGGAACCTGTTCCAGAACCAGAAAAAATAAGGACGAAACTAAGTTTCCCCGACCACCCAGGGTATTCCCTGATGTCGAAACCGTCCTTGACAGTTCTTAGGGCTTTGGAGAATCCTCTTCTTGTACTCCTTGGCATAGCTAACTGGGTCGGGGAAACTTATGACATAATATCATAAGGCTGTCAAGGCGCCGCATGACAGTCCTGTTTACAAACAGACTCTATGCCCTACTTTCTTCGAGCTAGCGAAAGTTTGTGATTTTCACTCCCGACTGTTAATATAAAAAAAAAAAAAGAAGAAGAAGGAAATGTGAAAGTCCCTTCCTTTATGTTTTGAAATATTTTCTATCCAGTGGAAAAAACCTATTATTAATCTGTTTAGAAATAACTGACAACTTGACAAATGAGTACCAAAAAATATTCAAACATCTATATATAGAACAAGATTTAAACAATGTTTTCTCCAGTACAGCCCTTTTAGATACTTAAACCATACTGTCTATACTAGCTTACTAAAAACATAAGAGATAATTGGAACAAAAATAAATTAATATTTTAATAGCGTTAAATGAGAAAATTCTCAAAATATTCATGTTTGTATTTGATCAAAAATTTAATAATAAAAATTATTTAACCGTAAAAAAGCAATTACTCGTCATTAAATTTTACAATTAAATGATTATGGTATGCTACGACAATTATTTTGTTAATATGTTAGAATATATATATTTTTAAAGTAGCTCACTTAAAAGATATTTTGAAATCTTACTATTAAAATAAAATTAGAAACTATTTCTATGATCATTCAAGAATTATTTCGGTGTAACGAACAACAGTATTTTGTAATCCGTCCTCGATACCTAGAACTGGTTCCAAAGGTCTTTAGAAGACTATCACTTTAATTATATTCAACTATATGATCACTGAAGTAAGTTTGGGTTTTTAAAGCACAATTTCAATTTGCGTTTTGTGTTTCCAATTGTCGAGTTTGTTTCAGAATGTTTTATTAAGTTGTCCGACTTTAAACAAATACTTAATCGTTTAGTCTAACATAAGTTGTTCGAATAAATGTTAAACATATTGACTCTATATCTTAACCTATTATTATTTTATTATTAACTTCCACTCACCTGTTTGTTATGTATAAGAAATCCAAAAAAGAAAATTCGGCGTGAAAACACCAAGATGCAGATCGCAGTTCTAAAAGGAGGACTATTTCCAAAATAGGAACAAAACCCCTCAAATTACTGGACTGATGTGCCGACAAGGAGACAACTCAATCTTCGACACTGGCTCACTCAAGACTAAACTCATAACCGGGCCCCTGATTGGATATATATAGGGGGCGCGTTGGTGGGGAGGGAGTTGGACCAATGGGATCCCTCCTTGCAATCACCTGCAGTTGGCGTGCTCCCCCGTCCGCTCAACGTAACGCTCGCTGTTTGCTGAGACCGACGTCTCTTGTTTTATGTCCCGAGGCTCATAAATTTTGCCATAAAACATGCCGCTTATCAATGGCTGCCTGTAAAATAGTCATCGAGAGAGCGCGTGAATGGCGGTTTCAAAAGCGAAATGTGATGTAGAAAAAGCACAAGGGAAAATTTAATTTGTTCAACATAAGTGCAGTTTGTCATTCTTGTTTCCCGCCATTATTACGAGTTGTCCCGGCGTCCCCCATTCTCCAGAATGTTCAAGATATCTTCATTTTTCAATATTTTTAATAAATTAAAAATGGATGCGCTTATTTCACCGACAACCTCAATCTCATATTTTTATTTAATTGAAATTATTACCTATTATTATTTTTTATATGTCAAATTCTACATAGTTTGTAGGAAGTATGCTAATCACAGACTTCCATTAAACAATAAAAACAATAATTCTAAATCAACAGTACTCATTAAATTATACCGTTCTCAATGACAAAACTTCGTAAACCATATGAACTGATAACACTGACATAAACATCGGTATATTTTTAGAGAAATGCAGTTAAATACACTATTTTTTAAGTTTAAGTGAACAAAAACTCTCTGAATTTAGAATAACTGTTCTTAAATGCAGCTATGATAAAAATATTTTTCAAAATAAAGCGTAAAAAACACTCCTTAAAGAAATAAATTAATTTTCCAAATATATAAAAACAGATACGTCCCTAATTTAAAGAAATCATAATTACATTCGAATAAAATACTTCCATAACCTACGGTGTGAGTTACAAATTTAAATTCTCAAAAAGAAATATAAAAAAATCTCAAAGAATACTTAATGAAAATTATGAATAAAAAAGTTAAATTAATTTAAATAATTAATGTAGTTTTATAAAACTCAATTATGATATAGAAAAAATCATTTACAGTATTAAATATTATTTAGATTAGATTAGCTTCTTTGTAAAATAATAGATTAACTATTTGAGAATTCATTATCACAGTATAACTACTCTTTTATCTTTTATCTAAGCTGCACTAATAATAATACTAAAAATTGTTTTTAAAAAACGACGTTTAAAGAAATAAGTATTTTATTATTATTATTTGTTTTTTATTAAGATTTTATAAATTTACCATTCTTTGCCCTAAAAATATATTCAAATATTGTTAAAATTAATATCCCGAAAAATGATATGTGAAGAAAGTAATTGAAGTTTGTAAACTGTAATAACATAATGTCTCTTAATTATATCAATGCGCATTAATCAAGATAAAGATTTTTTAAAACTTATTAATACTGAAAATATAAAAAATAACAGGATAAGGAGATATCTGATTATCATTTATCATTATATATATTTAATTAGCTTAATGATTACAAATAATAAAAAATAATTGATTGGGGGATATTGAAAATTTAGCTGTAAATATATTTTAGTGTCAATAGATTATAATACAATCTTCATTATTCCATTGCCAAATCCTTTACTGGTTGGAGATTAGCATAATGCATGTAGAATTTATTTATTTATTCTTATAAATACACTAACACACAGGGTTAAGAATGCTTACTAAATATTTTATCGAAACAAGTCGGCTATACTTGATTTTTTTAAATTCTAATATTGTTTATAAAGCTAGATTTTTTTATTTAAAATTTTTAAAAATTAAATTTAGATTTTTATTAATATACATTTTTTTTTTAATTTGTATTCTAGAGTTTTATGTACATTTAAATAATCGCTAAAGTCATTATTGCTTGTCCAACAGTAGGTTTCACATTATTTTAATTACATAATCAGTTACTATCACATGTTATAGTAGTAGAGAATCAAACAATAATATGAATAATTAGTTTAATATATCATTTTACTAGAGTTTTACTCCACGTAAATTGTATTAATATTAATTTTCGATGCATAAATAATATAATTGTTAACTTGGTGTATGTGAATGCTGACTGTTTTATTTTTTCGAAATATTTAATCTATTTTCTTATTATATAAAACTTAAAAAATAAATTCTGATGATAAAAAAAACAAAAAAACAAGCGAATTTGAGATCAAGCCACTCTTTTATATTATAAGCATATGAACAATTTTAATTTAGAAATTGTTATAATAATTATCTCCTCGATATTAAGTTATGAATGTATAATTTCTCATGAATTTACCATTTATCTTGTTTATTTATAAATATCATGATTTTTAGTTTTTCTCTTTTTATTTATATTGGTTCCAATAGTAAAAATCCAAATTTCTGATATGGGTGCGTATAAGCTAGGAATTGAGTGATGTGGTTTGTTTTTGTCGAACTTACTTTTATGTAATAGGCGAATTTATATAGATATAAAGATTTGCAAAATATATCTGTAAACCATGATTGTTTCAATGAAAACTACTTAAATTAACGTTTTAGGTAATTTTTTGTAGTAAAGTTATAAAACTTCAGTTTAATTATTCTATTATTCATGCTGCAGGGAACTTTGAAACTCGAGAGATTAATTATAAGAGAGCCGTGATAATCTTTGTTTACTCAGTTTTTCTGTGGGAATGTTTTTGTAATCTCTTTATTCCTATCAGCTGTTCCCCGTCCCTCTGAAACGACGGGTCGTGTGTACTCTCATGTGTCTTCAAGATGCATTTAAACATTATTTTTTATTTATAAAAAATAAATAAATAAAAATAAAGAAGTAATAATTAGTATAATTTGTAATTTTCTATTTAATACAAATTTTGAAAGTAATACCGCCCTCAATTCGTAATAATTTTTGTGTAGATCCGTAAAGTCGTGAAATCAACAGTTTTTGATTTTTATACAAATTCATATTTAATAGTTTTAAAAGAAATTAAAAACTCGCTTTTTTCTTTTAGATAGATAAATAGAAAATAACTTTATTCTGGGACACAGTCCCTTGAGAATAACAAAATTAAAAGATTACATTTGGCCAAAATAAAATCAATAGAGAAAAAAGAAATAATGTAAAGAAAATATAAGGTAAACATTCTATATACAAAACAAACGAAACTATATACAAAACAATTAACACTATGATAGAAACTGATAGACCAGTATACACTTTTAAGAAAACAATAAAGAATTAAAAATATATTAAATTCTTCATTAAAATAAGCTTTGTGTTTCTGTTGAGAAAACAGAAAGCTGAACCTGGCAATATAAAGTGGCTGCTTAATATATAAATACATTATCATTTTAATATTGATTAATGTATAAATACATCATCATCATTTCTTAACGTAACAATAGGTAAGAATTTAGTGCTATATAAAAGATAATAGTTATAAACTACCAATAGATGCGTTCAGTGACATCAAGAGTGGGAAAATCTTTACCCTATAAGAAAATTATTATCTCTAGCAAAGAATAGCATTGATATTTGACAATGAAATAAAAGTATGTTGTCAAATGGTTAGCAACTATCTAACTGTTTTTGGGATAGGAATTGGAATAGGGGGGTTTTGAATGTGGATATGGATGGGGTATGACGAATTTTGATAGGGAGAGAATTCCAGAAGTTGACAGAGCGAGCAAGCAATGAAGGAGTTTTGGAATGAGGCAGATCTGTGAGAAGCCATGCAAAGGTTAGAAGGTCGAGATCATGTAAACAGGGAATGAACTAAGGATTTGAACTGGAGAAGGTTGTAGGCGTAAGAAGTACGATGATTGTTGATGATTTGGTAGAGG